GCCTGGCCAGCGGGCTCTGCGGGGCGGGGGTGGAGAGGGAGAGCGAGGAGCCAGTGCGTTTCTGAGCTAAGAGCAGAGCTGTCTCCTCTAGCGAGGAGACGGGCGGCCATAGGCGAGAACAAGCCACCCCACCGCCCCGAGAAGTCTGTACTTCTGACGCCAGGGTGGGTGGGACGTGCCCCATCACGGGCCACCTGGGCCGCAGTGGTGGGGGAAGGGGTCCAGGGCTCTGGGCGCCCTTCGGCCAGCAGCGCTGGGCATGAGGTGAGTGTGGACAGCAGCCCAGTGTGCAGAACCGGGGCCCACCACGGGGCAGGCTGGGCTCACGGACTCCCTGCCCCATGTGAGACGCAGGTTCCCACTAAGGCGCGAAGGCCGCGGGCCAGGCAGTGCCCAGGGCAGGGCCTGTTTGCCCAGAACAACGAAACTGCCACCCTGTGGTGGGGTTCGGCTCGGGAGGCAGGGACTCAGACTCCGGGGTGCAGCGGCACATGCGCGGCCCTGCCTCTATCAGAAGGTAGAACCGACCGGCACGCCAGCTCTCCACCCCGGCCTTTACATGGCTCTCTCCCTGCTGCGAGCCTCGGCCTCCCCAGCTGCTGGGTTGCAGGTTCAGCCCCCACGCCCGGCTTTTGTATTGGACTGGGAATGACACGGGGCCTCCTGTGTGTCCCCACCTCAGTAGGCCCTGCTCAGCCACCCTAAGGGGCACCCCACTGAGAACTCCTGGGTGGGGTCCCCAGGAGATGAAGAACCTCCGGGCTGGGCAGGCTAGGGAGACACCCACACAGACAGCAGTTACGTCACCGCCTCCCAGGTAAGCCCTGCACGGCCAGACGCGCCCGGTCGGAGGGGCCGAGGCCTGAGGCGGGAGGCACCCTGGAGCAGCTGGGCTCTGCCCTTCCATGTCCTTCGGCCCCTGGGGAGCGAGGTCCTGGCCAAGTGCAGGGACCAGGCTCCTCCCTGTGAGGGTCCAGGAGGTCTCTGGCCGGGTGAACAGACCAGCGAGGACGGCTGCCCGAAGTCCAGGGACGTTCAGCTGGACAGGAGCTGTCCAGGGCGGAGAAGGAGCGCCCACGGTGGCGGGGAGTCGGCGGAGCGGCTGGCTGTAATGAGATGCGCATAAATCATAGGGCTCGTATGAAACAGAAAGATCATATTCCTGCCGACAATCCCGGTCTCATGTCTACACCTGAAGCGAGCCGTCTCGGGGTGCTGAGTGTAATGAGGTGCATGGAATTTTAAAGAGCGTAATGAGGTGAAAAATAAATCAGGCCCTGTGTGGGGGTGAGTGGGCACAGACCGCACATGGGGGGCATCGCCCTAAAAGGCAGATGGCGGGGCTAGCCCCCGGAGAGCGGCGAGAAATACCTGAGCGTAAGCTGCACCTGGAGGTGACGGCCCGCATGGCTGGCACGCCCTGCACAGCCGTGCCCAGGCACACACAGGCACCCTGGGACGAAGGCCGGCCGTGTGGCCCTGGAGGGGGAGTGCAGGGACAACCACGGACCGGAAAGGCTTCTGAGGTCGGCGCTTGTGGGGATGGCCCTGGCTGCGGCCCGATCCCTGCACCACGAGCAGCCCCAGGGTCTGTGCCCGAGGCAGGGGCCGTGGAGGCCTGTGTGCAGGTCATGCGTGAGCAGGTACGTGAGAGACAGGTTGAGACACGCAGGGCAGAGGTGAGCTGTCTCTTGCCGAGCTGCGGTGGGGAAGGCACAGCATGCAAAGGGAGGGGGCAGGGCGAGGCCACCGCCTGCTGGCCAGATGGTGGTCGCTGGTGAAGTCCCTGCAGAGAGCCGTCCCAGGCAGCGGGTGCTGAGCGACACGTAACGGTGCGAGGTGCCGACTGCCCAATTTCCCAAGAGAAACCAGAAATCTGGTTTTTAAAATGTGGAATCTACTAACTTGTTAATATTAGCACAGAAAGGCTGGGAACCACGCACAGTACGAAACGCGCCTGATCGCCCGAGAGCCACAGGAGCACGGGGGTCCAGGCTCAGACCATGGCCCCGCAGGACCCTGGGAGCTGTGACCCGACACGAGCCCCCGTCCCCATCTCCGCCCGGAATGAAAACACCCACGGGAGAGCCGGCATTGTCGCAGCGCCCAAAAGGCAGGCATGGCCCCACTCAGGCGGTCGCTGCCCAGGCTCCTTGCCGATCGCTGCCGCCCACAGCAGGACCCCATGGGGACGGTCCAAAGGCACCCTGAGGGGTTGGGGTGGGGCGCTGCCCGGGCCGACATCTGGGCTCCTCTCCTCTGCCATCTCCGGGACCCAAAGCTGTGGTGGCTTCTCCCTGCACTGGTGGCACTGGGTCCTACCGAGAGGTGCTGCCCTCAGAACACACCACGTGGTAGTGCCTGCAGGTGCCTGGTAGGAACCGAGCAGAGCTCAGGGTGACAGTGAGCCTGGGGCTCCTCAGCAGAGGTCTCCGCGGCCATGGCAGGGCGAGTGCCAGGGAAGGGCCGCCCGTCAATCGGGTGTCATCCCTGCCCGACTCTCAGACCTCAGAGATTGCCCTGCCGGGCCGTGCTGGGTGTGCTCTGCACTGTCCAGCCGCCGCCCGAGCTAGGTGGCAACCTCAGTAGCGACCTCGGGGGTGGCCTGCCTGCCCCACAGCTCTCAAGGGTCCCCTCTGCCCAGGGACTGGGTCAGCGGACTCCCCAGGTGTGTGCTGCTCTGTTCCACCGTCCCCCGCTCCTTGCTGGTCCCCCAGGTGAGTGACCGCTCTCCAGCCTCTGCAGACAAGAACTCTCTCCCTGTGTACAGACGCTCTGACTGGCAGCCTGGCTGTGGTTGGGCCACAGAGGCAGGCTCTGGTCTGGGTGACAAGAAGCCTGGCCGTGCAGCACCGTGGGAAGACCCTGGGCTTCCCTGCTGGGGCTGCGGTGTGGACTGTTCAGGGCAGCCCTGCCAGCCCCACGCTGCAGCTCAGCAGGGACGGGTAGGCCTGCAAGGCTGCCGGGGCCTGGGCCGGGAGAGGAGGCGCAGCAGCCTCATGGGCTAGGCGCTGAGTCGGGCCCTCTGGAGGGCAGAGTGCATGGGTCCACCCAGACTGGCCCCCCTGGGCTTCCCTGCTGGGGCTGCGGTGTGGACTGTTCAGGGCAGCCCTGCCAGCCCCACGCTGCAGCTCAGCAGGGACGGGTAGGCCTGCAAGGCTGCCGGGGCCTGGGCCGGGAGAGGAGGCGCAGCAGCCTCATGGGCTAGGCGCTGAGTCGGGCCCTCTGGAGGGCAGAGTGCATGGGTCCACCCAGACTGGCCCTGTCTGCACGTGGAGGGGAGCCACCATAGGCTGGCGCCGGCCCTCTCTGCGGTGAAGCGGGGGCCCCGCCCC